GCTGGCAGGTGAGAGCGCTAGCCCCTGGAAAATTATGTGATAATTTAAGGAGGGGAATTGTGGGAAAAGGCGTGAGAATATTCTTGACACCACCCCGACAGCTGCCAGTCAGTACAGTACATTTATCGGTAAATGGAATTTGTTTGTCATCTAGTTACTTGTTAGAGATAGTTTGGTGACATCGTCTTTCGTAATTGTGTAAATTGAATGTTGTTAGGAGTGTGTCGCATCGCGACAAGCTAGATGTTGTGAGAGCTCTTTGCAGCGAGTAAACAGTGCGAAGGCACAGACAGATCATAGGGTCTGAAGTTAGTTGCTTGACGCTCAACACTCGAGGGAAAGGCGAGACGGATCTACATACAGTCAGACAGTTACTGGTACCATCAGAATTACAACTCTTCGCTTGCTGCTGAAGATGAAGATGGATCGCTTATGGGAGTGTTCCGAGTGCTAAGATGTCGATTCCTAATTCAAGATTCCGTGATGATATATAATGTCTTTAATGTGATTGATCCATATTTTTCTGGAGGAGCTTTTGTTTTCACGTCAGCTGTTGTTTAGGTGTAGCGCCTGTCTTTGTCATTGTTGTGGCTGCATTCCGAGGAGAAGATTGAACCATTTGAACTTCTGCTTGTCATTGAATTTCGTTCAGTCTCTTGTTCCACAGTCCGTCTGGTAGTATTATTTCTTACCTAAATGTTGTTAATTGTAGGTAAACTTGCCTTCGATAATGTCCACATCTGACACTGGTAGCACTGTGTTGATATGAATCTGCTATTTATAAATTATTTCTTGGTAGTAAAGTAATACTTCTGTTTGAATATCTTAATACCGACTGTACAAGAGCACTGGCTCTTTGTCAACTTATTTATTAAGTTCAGATCCTTTCCAGCCTCCTCCGAGAATATACTCCCTAGATATGAAAATTGTTTTACTTGCTTCAGATAAGTACCATTGAACTCAATATGTTGTTGATTAAGAATTCCACCTACCTGCACTATTTAAGGGTTTTGTCTTGTGAACATATTATATAACACCTTTGGATTCTGTAAGTAGTCGTCGTCAGTAGACGTTGTTAGTAGACGTTGTTAGTAGACATTGTTAGTACACGTTGTTAGTAGACGTTATTAGTAGGCGTCACTGGTAGACGTTGTTAGTAGGCGTTATTAGTAGCCGTACGTTGTTAGTAGACGTTGTTAGTAGACATTGTTAGTAGACATTGTTAGTAGACGTGATTAGTAAACGTTGTTAGTAGACGTTGTTATTAAACGTTGTTAGTAGATGTTATTAGTAGATCTTATTGGTAGACGTTGTTAGTAGGCGTTTTTAGTAAACGTTGTTACTAGACGTTGTTAGCAGACGTTGTTAGTACACATTGTTAGTAGACGTTATTAGTAGGCGTCATTCGTAGACGTCGTTAGTAGACGTTGTTAGTAGACATTGTAAGTAGACGTTGTTAGTAGACGTTTTTATTAAACGTTGTTAGAAGACGTTATGAGTAGATGTTATTGGTAGACGTTGTTAGTAGGCGTTATTAGTAGCCGTACGTTGTTAGTAGGCGTTGTTAGCAGACGTTGTTAGTGGACATGATTAGTAGACGCTGTTAGTAGACGTTGTTAGTAGAAGTTTTTATTAAACGTTGTTAGAAGACGTTATTAGTAGATGTTATTGGTAAACGTTGTTAGTAGGCGTTTTTAGTAAACTTTGTTAGTAGACGTTGTTAGCAGACGTTGTTAGTGGACATGATTAGTAGACGCTGTTAGTAGACGTTGTTAGTAGAAGTTATTAGTAAACGTTGTTAGTAGATGTTGTTAGTGTAAGTTATTAGTAAAGTTTGTTAGTAGACGTTATTAGTAGACGTCATTGGTAGACGCTGTTAGTAGACATTGTTAGTAGACGTTGTTAGTACACGTTGTTAGTAGACGTTATTAGTAGACGTTATTGGTAGACGTTGTTAGTAGACGTTATTAGTAGACGTCATTAGTCGACGTTGTTAGTAATCGTTGATAGTTGACGTTGTTAGTAGACTTTATTAGTAGACGTTGTTAGTATCATGAAAAGATATAAAACCAAAAAAAAAGTTGAACTGCAAGATTAACAATATAAAAAACACAACCAAAACGGGAACAGTCTTTTTCTGCACATACATAACTCAAACAAAACTACTTGAATACACGAAAATCACCTAACTGAGTATCCAGAAGCTGCTACGTTGATGGTTTGCCAGTGGAATGAAAAGGAAACGTGGAACTCGAGAAAAAAATTACTAATGGAATGCCAGAGGCCGTACCTCGAGAATTTTATATGGAACTGTGTTGACAGTTAAGTCTCTTGGGCAGAAGCGTCATGAGACTTGAGGACTCTGTCGATTGAATGGCTATATTTAATGGCTGTCACCTCAGTGTCATAGACACATTGGTGATCCTGGGAATTGAAGTGCAACGATACTGGTTTCAAGGTTCTTCCTCTTCTTCTTCTTTCGCTCGCCTAAATTAAGTTGTCTGTATTAGCAATTGTGTCTCTTGTATAAATTTCAAGTTCATTCAGTGGTCCATAGAGTTTACGTTTCACTATTGTTCTTTTCAGCCAAAAGGTTTGCCTTAATGTGTTAAATTCGGTGCAGTCATGGAGTACATGCTCTGCTGTCTGGGGCACTTTTTCACAGGTGCAAATGGCTGATACGCCCATCTTGAATCCTGTGTACTTGTGGTTACGTAATCGGTTATGCACTCTTCTGAGGCGTAGGATAATGACTTGTTCTGATCTGCCCATAATAAAATAGTCGTCTTGTGCTGGGGCTGGTGGTTTCCTGATTGATTAAATGATTCTTTTCTTTTGGTGGTATGTGACTGGAACATCCGGCTGCTCTTTTGTCGCACCTTCCCCTGCCAGTTAATCAGCTTTCTCATTTCCATGCACTCCACAAAAGGACGGCATCCACTGCAATACGACGCTTCGCTGAAGGCTAAGTTGTGTCAGCAGTGTTTGCAATTCTGGTAGCTTCCTAGACTAGAATGTTTCAAATACGGATTTTGCAATCTGTCAGAATTACCACATACTGTGAGCCAAGTCTGGTATTTATCAGTTTCTCTGTTGCTTCTTTGATAGCCTGAGTTTCTGCATCATTGTTATGGCAATACTTTCCGGTTTGTACGCCGGACTTATTCCTAGTACCATCTGGGAATTCTATGTACACTCCAGCACCACCATTTCTAACTGCACTTTGTGCGGACCCATCTGTATAGACTCGGACCCATTGTTCTTGTGGGTATTCTTCATAAATATAACGGAGGGTGGCAATTCTTGTCAAATATTCCTTTCACATTTGTCTGGATTTGTACTGTTAGTTTGCACTTTTCTCTCTGTTTGGTTTGTTCTGGAATACTTTTAAGTAGACAACCAATTTCTGAAAGGCCAGTAGTTTGTCTACATATTCTTTTTGCTTGGTGTATAAAGCTGCTTCTTTTTAAACGTCCCAAGGCTAGGTTCTAAATCTATTTTTCATCGGGTGACCAAGCATACTGGGGAACTTTTCACTGCGTTCTCTTAGTGCCTGTGTTTTCCAGCTTTCTTCATTTCTAATATGGTGGTTAGTTTCATCCCTGCTGTGATGACTTTGAATGCTCGATTTTCAGTTCAAGTTACCAAAAAGATGATGTCTGAACCTGTCAGCCAGTCGTTGACCTCTTTCACTATTGTATTTCATGCCACATCTCTTGTAGCTGATGGCACAAATACCACTACGGCTCGTGCAGTAGAATGCTTTATATATGTGGAAGAAGCATTTGCGAATTGCAGACTATTCCCCTGAACCACATATGGTCAAGTCCTACATATAGGTCTGTGACAAGAGACCGTGCCGAAGACGCAGGACTCAACGGACACCTGACTAAAATGTCTTTTAGGTTACGGTCATATCTGTAGCCAGTAGAGGTAGTTGGGAGAAACCTGTGCTGGGGGCAGGGTCAGCCCCAAGGATGGAGATAGTACTGAGGGGAATATTTATATATATTAATAGTATGAAGTTAGGTCTGTTGGAAGTTTAGGCTTGAAAACAAAAGCATCGGCACGATGGAAAGGCTGCTCGGTAAAAGAGCAGATAAAACATGTCCAGGATAACTTCTTAGCGGTTCTCCTGACACAGGAGTCCTTGTAGGAAGAGGGATGAGAGGACGTGTAAAGAAGAAAAACATGGAATCAGTAGGCTTATAGTACACCGAGGTTCTGAGGCCTTTGGAATCCATGGTGACAGTGAGATCCACAAAATGCACCGACGATGGTGAAATGCTGGAAATGCATCGATGCTGGGTTGGAAATTGAAGAGAAAAAAAAGTAATAAAGTCTTGCAGTCCAGGTCTTGCACATCGGTGACACCGACGCAATCACCGATGTATCTCCTGTAGAGCTCGGGAAGCGTACTGGCATATGCAAGACGTATCTGATGCTCGAAGCAGCCCATGAAGAAGCAGGCACAGCTAGGCCAGATCTTGGTGATTAGTGGTTAGAAATGATTATAATCACAGCGCTCCGGACAGAACCATAGGTGCTCCGATCTCCTTCTCAAAAGCTCCACAAGTGTACAATGACTGATGAGTCTGATCTATGCTGGTTAATGAAATGTCTTGTCGCCTTAGTGAAATGTTCATTTCTTGCAGCTCCTG